CAGCATGACTCTGCCGTGTGTCTGCACCAGGGTGACTCTGTGCATGTCTCTGCGTGTATTTTCTCTCCAGGGAAGCGGATGGCAGCCTGCGCCCTCTGCCTCAGTTCAGCGTGGACACTGGGATGGGTCTGGAGCGGCTGCTCACCGTCCTGCAGGGCAAGCGCTCTAACTATGACACTGACCTCTTCACCCCTCTGCTTGCTGCCATTCAGGAGGTGAAACTCCCTGCCTAGCTCCAGGCAGTTAGGAGGTTTAGGCTGAGCTTCCAAATGGCTCATCTCTTTAGTGTAGAGCAGAGGAGATTCCAGGAGGATTTTGTTCAAGAATGTACTTATGTGTGGATCTGGGCTGCTGAAATAAGCATTCTCAGGCATGATCCTGTGTTTTAAATTGCTGAATTTGAAATCTTAACTTCTGCTTTCTGTGTTGATTAAAATTAGGATAGTCTCATCAAGTAAACAACTGACTATATTTGTTCTACTTACTGACTGAATGATGTAGTAGGAAATGAGGATGCCAATACTTAGTCTGTGATTGTATTGTATTTAAGGAAATATGATTGCTATAGTGCAATTGAAGTTTATTTTGATGACACAGCTCTGTGATTTGTGGTGGTGTAAGCGTGTTTCCTCCTGTGAGCGGCAGGCAGAGTGATCCGGGCTTGTCTCGGCCCATTCTGGAATGCGCTGCTGTCTTGCAGTGCTCCCAGGGCCCAGGGTACCGTGGACGGACTGGGGAGGCCGACGTGGGTGGAGTCGACATTGCCTATCGGGTGCTGGCCGATCACATCCGCACACTGGCGGTCTGCATCGCTGACGGAGTCTATCCTGGCATGTCCGGAGCCGAGTGAGTCGCCCACTTCCCGTCCGACGTGAAAGCAGTGGTGATTCGCTGAAAGAATGAGCTGTTTTATTTCACCCTGTTGTGAGACACATCACTAGTGGACATCGCCAAACCGTCCTGCGTGTGAGATCTGCACAGCCGCAGTTCGGGCCTTCTTGTGTCACTTGTACACTTAATCAGCCACAGTTCTTCTCGGGCTGTATCCGCTGTTCTCACGATGATCCCACTTTGTTTTGCTACACTGTGCTCTGTTTTTACTGTATGCTGTGAGTGTAGTTAGGGCTTAGTTATAGGGTTTGAAGAGCCTGATGGGTAAAGGCAGGAAAATGAAAAGACTCAGGGGGTCCTGAGGACTGGCGTGGGGAAATCCCTTTGTAAGTGCTGTTATGTGTAGATACAGGGACTCTGCAGGTGAAAGAGTTTTGAGTGGACAGTAGGGCACAGTGAGGGCATCAGGTGGTGAGAGTGTGTGACCTCCCGTCTCCCTGTCTCCCCGCTAGGCTGGTGCTGCGGAGGATCCTGCGCCGCGCTGTCCGCTTCTCCGCTGAGGTTCTGCAGGCTCCTCCAGGGGCCCTGGCCAGTCTTGTGCCCACTGTGGTGCAGGTGTTGGTATGTCCCTGCCTGGCATCCAGGGGCCTTGTCTCTGGGCGTGCCCATTCATTGTCGCACTAACATTTATTGTAAAATTCCAAACTTTAAAAACAAATGCAGAATTGCCCCAGAGTATGTGATGACATTTGGGAAAAATACTCTGAAGTAAATGCACTCACCCCATTTATCTGGCTGCTGATTTTATCCAAAGCAGCTTTGTACCCATTTATGCACCTGGAGGAGTTTTTTTTACTGAGCAGCCTGAGTGACGTCCCTTGTTCAGGGGTACAACAGCAGCATTCTGCTCAGGATTTGAACCCACGATCTTTATGGTACAAGTCCTTGTTTTTTGTTTTTCGCAGGGGGAAGCCTATCCAGAACTGATCACAGAAACAGAGAGGGTAAGCTGATATTGGTGTTTTATAAGGATTTAAATTTTCCCCTAATTAATCCTGTCCAGGAACTGAGCGTGTCAGTTTCCACAAAGCATATTTGATCATCAGGCAGTTTGAGAGTATTGTGTCTTCTTGTTTCCAGATCAAGGATATAATTAATGACAATGAGGCCCAGTTCCTGTCCTCTCTGAGGCAGGGGAGGCGTGTTATCGACAGGACGCTGCAGAAGATGGAGAACAGCAAGGTGTTCCCAGGTGTGCTACACAACCTCCATGTTTTTTATTTCTTCTTGTTTCTCTGCTGTGAAATACTGTTGGTGGCCATGTGGTTCAGTATAAGGGAGACAATTGGAGCAATGATACCAGATGGACGTCTTCTAAAACAGGTGTTTCACTTATTGTAGTTTGTATTTTGTAATGTAGACAGCTAATTCTTCCTGCATTTACAGGGGCAGACTCGACACATTTGAGGGTTGAAAAGGGAGGAGGGGGTGAGAGGTGTTACAGTCTAGATGTTTTTCAGATGTACTTTATCATTGTAAGGGTGCGCACGTAGTGAGATGGTTGTAACCAGCCCAAGATGTTTCTGTCCGTGCTGAACTCGTTAGGGTCTGTGGCCTGGTCTTTACATCGCAATTTGGGCTTCCCCCTGGACCTGATTGGTTTGATGGTGGAGGAGAGGGGTGTCTCTATGGAAACAGATGTACTGGATAAATTCGCTTCAGAAAAAGCAAAGGTATTATTTTTGTTTCTTAGCTTTTGTCATTTGCAACCTGCTACTAATAATATTTTAATACTGTTAAGTACATGGAAAGGTTTACATATATAGATGCACGTGTCTGGAAGAGGTACAGTCAAGCATTTTGCTGCTGATCTCACTTGACTGTGGTTCCTGAGACAGATGCTTTTGTGAGGTCTGTCACAGCAGCTCTGTGTTGCTGTGGTCTGTAGAAAATTCATACGCTTCTCATCATTCACTCCCAAGAGAGGAGATAATTTAGGCATGGCAATGGATACTGAAACAGGGAGCCTGCTATGTATTGTACAAAACATTATGTTTCAAAACCCCCAGACCATTGAATTGTTCATGTTGTACATGTATGTAGCTCCTCCAGGTGACTGAAGTGTCATGGCTGCCGGTTCTGTGTGTTTTGTTAGTAACGTCAATTTAGACATTGTTAGTATAGCTGCTGCAAGTCCTTCGCTTGCTGTCAGCAGAGAAGCAAAAGGGATGGGTTTTGTTGCCGAGGTGAAGGAGCGAGTGGGAACGATGATCCCTTTGATGCTTTCCAGCTCTCCGCCCAGGCCCGCCCTTCGGAAAGGGAGAGCCGCACAGCTCTGGATGTACGCTGCCTGTCCGAGCTCAAGCAGAAAGGGGTTCCAGCCACAGATGACTCCCTTAAGTATGCCTACACCCTTGGACAGGATGGCAGATACGGTAAACCACGACTCTCTTTGAGCTCTTGCAATGTCATATGCCTCTACATTGAACTGAGCACATTTCATTTGTATGTTCTATCCCTCGTTTGGAAGTGGCGCACACGTGCTGTGCAAGTTCACCTGCATGCCGTCTAGAGCTGCTTGAACTTGTGGCGATAGCTGACACAGCTTCTCTCCTGTGCCAGTGTTCCCCCCTTGCCAGGCCACAGTTCTGGAATTGTACTGTGGGATGGCCCTGGTGGAGGAGGTGCCAGAGGGCCAGCAGTGTGGCGTCATTCTCGACCGAACCTATTTCTACGCAGAACAGGGGGGGCAGGCTGCTGACCAGGGCTATTTCACTCGAGATGGACTACAGGTGTGTCTCCTCACACTGCTTACTTTCCCAGCCCACTGCATAGTGGTGCCTTTTTGGGTGTGTAAATTGATATTCTAATCTTTCAGTTAGATGAGTTTGCACATAATTTAGGAGATATATGTGCATGATGACGCCCATCTCTCTTCTGTTTTCCATTCTTTTCTGTCGCTGACTACCTTTCTGCAGGTCACTGTTTTTCCTCAATGATTAGTAAAGAAATCTCACTTGATTACTGATACACTGATCTTGAATGCCTGTATTGGCCCCAGTTTCTTTCCTTCTTGATTATTAAAAAGGATTTTTTTTTTCTTTCTGTCTTGATATTAAGTTCTGAATAGCCAGTTCTGAGTTACAGTAGCTGGTTGAGTTTCCATGACAGCGGCAGGCCAGCCATGAAAAACATCATCCTATGTTTTATTTTAAAAAATTGTCCTTCTGGAGTGTGGAAATAACAGGAGTGACCGCGGTCATCTTCTCTTGCCCAGGATGTCCTGTTCCCTGTGGAGGATGTGTGGCTGGCAGGAGGGTACGTGGTCCATGAAGTGACCACAGCAGAGACCCTGAGAAGGGGGGACCAGGTGCAGCTCTTTGTGGATGAGGTACAGTGAAAACCTGAGTGGAGACCCGGGAGAGATCCAGACGTGCTCCTCTCTGCTTGGCCGCTGTGCTGGGGTAGGCTGTCTGAGCGCGGGCCTTGCTGTATTTCAGGCTCTGCGGCTGGCCTGCATGGTGAAGCACACGGCCACCCACATCCTGAACTTCGCCCTGCGGCAGGTCCTTGGGGAGGGCGTGGAACAAAGGGGGTCTCACGTCACCCCTGACAGGCTGCGCTTCGACTTCAGCGTCAAGGTACCAGTCCTGAGCTGAGCAGCTGCCTGAAGAGACAGTGTGTGCCATGTTAACATGTTCCAGCATGTCCCTTCATAGCTTTGATCATTCATTCTAGTGTCCCCTCTGAGTCTATGCCATAAAATGACAAATCCTGATGTTATGATGCCATTTATTTCATTCATTTCCTTCCAGCTCAGCTTTTAATGTCCTAGGTCAGCTCATTATTGGCTAATGGGACCGATTTAACAAGTTCTCCCAGCCCTTCAGATACTGGTGCTTTGAAGAGACCTCCAGGTTCAGGACTGGCCAATCCTGGTTACACAGTGGGAGAAACACAGTGTGAAATTGCTTCTGTTTCGTGTTGCTGTCAATACAGGAAGCGCTGAGCACACAGCAGCTACAGCAGGTGGAGTACACTGTGCTGGATGTCATTTGGAGTGACGACTGGGTCCACACTGAGGAGCTCCCACTGGGTCTGGCCAAGGGACTCCCAGGGCTGAGAACAGTGGATGAGGTGAAAGAGGGTGAATTTTCCTTGGTTAAAACCTGGCTTGAATTAAAACAAGGCCAGTCAGAGCCAGTCAGCGAGAGAGTTCGATCGTGTCTTTGTTTTCCAGATGTATCCGGACCCTGTGAGAGTGGTGTCAGTGCGGGTCCCACCCAGAGAGCTGCTGGAGTCTCCCTCCTGCCCTCAGACCTCTGTGGAGCTGTGCTGTGGAACGTACGTCTTAGACATGTTCACTACCTATCTAGTTCACCTGCAAATACTCAAATGATTTATTTTATGGTGTTACAAATATTTTTTTTAATTTCCACTTTTATGGTGGCAAACATAAATATTTGCATCTTGTGTCATCACATACAGTAGTTACACCAAACACATGCCAGGATGAATGTCTTCAGTTTGGTCATGTCTGCCTCTTAAGGATTTTACGCAAATTATTCTGAGGCACTGATTAAAAATGAGCATATTTGGAAATTTGTGGTTTTTTGAAAGATAAGCTGAAATCTAGAAAACACTATTCTGCTGTATGCTGATGCACAGATGTGAGTGCATCTGCACCTTTTGCCTCTGAGGACATTGAGCTGAACTAGGACATAAGAAATCTAATGTAGAACTATTTGATTCCTGTTGATGATTAGTCAACTCGAATCTCCTGTTGACAGAGATTAAGTCTCCATTGCAGTGGAAATTTGTCTCAAGTTCCCTACCGGGCAGCAAGAGAGGCATGTCCACGTATCTGACATTTCTGAGGACTGCATGTCCACTGTAGTGGACTGTG